TACTAGTTCCTATCCGAGGACTGGTATTATTATTTATCTTTGTTTCTATTGTGATTATAGTGCTCCCCAGCATAACGTGATTTGAATATTATAAGCCTATCTTAGTCTTACAAGGTTAAAGTTGTACTGTACTTTCTGAGTGAAATTTAAAAAAATTGAAAATTAAGACGTGAAAATATGTTTAAAGTCAAACAACGCATAGATAACTTTATATTCCTCAAATTGGCTGGTTATCATATTTGAATTTTCTTATCAAAAATCTGCAAATTAGCGAACACTGAATTGTTTTAATTTCCTTTTCATTAAAAGGTATTTACTTATGTCATCAGTATAGGTATGCAGTATACATGTATAGACCAACGGTATAATTAACGGGACTGACGTATTAATACAATAATGAGGCGGGTTTTAACATTAATTGTTTTGAATATTTTGTTATTCCTTATAATCCTTCAGTAAGGCAAACGGGTAATGTGTCCCAACAACCAACCAAAGCATTTATATGCCTTCACTGGCCTGTCTTTAATGAAATTATGAAGCAAAAATAGTTATTATTTTTGACCACTACACTAACCTGTGCATACGCAATGGTAAATTTAGGCCTAGTTAAAGAAAGCAATCATCATAAATATATGTAATAACTAATAGTTATGCGTTTTAATCAACTAGATTATCATTAATGTTGCCATAAATCAACATAAATGCGGTTTAACAGTACATTAAGGTATTTATAATAATTAACGTGGATTTTCATACGAGTTCATAATCTCACGTACAAATGCCTATTTTATCGCGTGCAGTGCACACTGTTGATACAAAGCAGTAAGCCTCGGGCAGTGGGCACCTCCAGTGCCCACGGTGCCCGAGGTCATATTACTACATTTGCAAAAGAAAGCCAAGGAGAATATTTCATTTTGTAGAAGTGCACTGCCGCGATTGATATTACACGCGTGTGCGTATAATGTGAGGCTAAGCAACCTGGTTACATTGCCAACAGAAGATAAATCCATATAATGAGTCACATTAAATGAATGTAACTTTTCACATTGCGGAATTACTGTAATTGCAATTAGGAGGGTCGTTAATTTTTTCCCGTCAATGAACTGCGCGTATAGTCAATGTATTTACAGCCGATGGAAATAAAAATAACATCACATGCGTTAGATCTGCCCACACCATCAAATTTTATGTTACAAACAACTGTAATATGCCCATATTTGGGTATAATATGACATCATCATGCCGAAATATGGGCACTCCACACAAATTTGTCACATTCACTTTTGCTTTTTACACATAGTACCGTACCGTATCTGCCTAAATAATTTTGCTACCTATCTCCGGACCGTTTGGTTTGGCTACTACCTAACCAGGTTTATTATTTCGTCTATGGGAGAATTCCAATGTCTTTTTTTTTTTTTTTTGTGGGGCAAAGTAATTAACACCAATTATCATATAGGCCTAATGGTAGGCCTATTCAGTATATAATAGGCTACAGCGCGTTCCGGTACAGTGTTTATCCGGAGTGCGTCCATACCGCCATGCGCATTATAATTAAATTGCCATCTACATTTTAGGCAGTAATTTCTTGCACTCCAATCTTTCGCAAATGGAAGTAATAATAAGTGTATTTGACCAAACACAGAGCAAGAAAAACAATTATCTAAATCATTACTAGGTGATGTAGCTTGACGCACAGACGATCGTTAGCACTATATTCCACTCTGTGGTCGAATTAACCTATAATATCTTCCCTAGGGAACATTGTCACTGCCGATGCTATAATGTAGGCTCAGCACAACGCACTGCATCTCACCTCTGTTTTGTATTGGTCCATAGGCAACCATTTTCATGCCAATGACTCGAACAATTAATTTGTCACTGTATATCGTTCTGGCTGAGCCATGCAGAAACAATTTAATGTGTAAGCAAAAAAATATCACCTTAAATCAAATAATAATGCTGAAATCGACTGGCACCTATACTTTTGAGTTAATCACCGTAAATCACACAATTTATGCAACACATTACATACCTACACCAAATATAAGCAATCGACTATATATAAAAATTTTAATTTAGCTTTTTATTTGAATTGTAAATATGGAATTGATTGATTTTTCCTTTTATCTATTTAACCTTAATTAGAATTGTAAATTGAATTGTGTATATTTTTATATTGAATTTTTGACCTTTTATGTTGCAGTGTATAAACAAAGATTTTCTAATGTATTTTTTATATATTGGACAATAAAAGATTTAATTTGAATTTGAATATATATATAGATATATATAGGCATATATATATATGCTATATATATATATATATATATGTGTTATATATACTGTATATGCTGTACCCGCGGTATATAAGCAAATAGGTAAAAATTACCAGTTCCTATTCGAGCACTCCATGGTATTATTATTTATCTTTGTTTCTATTGTGATTATTACACAGCATAACGTAATTTGAATATTATAGGTCTATATACTTAGTCTTACAACGTTAATGTTGTACTGTACTTTTTGAGTGAAATAAAAATAAAAAATTAAAACGTGAAAATATGTTTATCGTCAAACAACAGACGCATAACTTTATATCCCTCAAATTGGCTGGTTATCATATTTGAATCGTATCAAGAATCTGCAAGTTAGCTAACATTGAATAGTTTTATTTTCCGTTTCATTAAAAGGTATTAACTTAGGCCTATTTGATTATTTTAGAATAAGTTACTGCTACACAAATGTAATCTACTTATCAAACAATGTATGGGGAATTTTACCATAGACACTTTTAATAATATATAATTGCACTTAGGTATATTAGGTCTTCGTCCATGAAAATTAAATTATTTTTTTAAATCTCAATAATGTTTTTTTTTCTTTTTCATTTTTCAGAACATTAAGGTCGTCTATTGTCATCCTGGCGTTTATTTGGTTCATAGCTTTCACTACCCAACTTCCAGTTGCCATCTACGTAACGGCAATGAATTTAGGAGATGGTTGGAGCATTTGCTTTGAATTGTGGCCCGGTGCTAATGCGAAGGCTATATACAACATCACTTTCTTCGTGTTCTTTTACGTTGCCCCCCTTTTAGTCATCGGCGGCTGTTACGGGCGAATGGCAAAACTTTTGTGGCACAGTTTTAGTCCGCAATACGGCGAAACGGAAGTTGTTCGCACGCAGATGTTCATGCGGCGAAAGATAGCAGTAATGATTCTCGTGGTGGTAATCTGCTTTGCGGCGTGCTGGTTCATATTCCATTTTAACGAGGTGTTTGTCTTGACATTCGGATACTTATCAGACTTAACGATTTTGCAAAAAAATAGGTTATCACATGCGGGACGCTTTCTTGGTGCTATGAATAGCGCCCTCAACCCATTTCTGTACGCTTTCCTCAGTGCTAACTTCAGACGCTGTTTCTATCGTGTATTCCCCTGTATATCAAAGTTAAATATAGGATCCGGGAGTTTCATTCAGAAAGATCCAGATGAGAAAACGTTATACACACGAAGAAGTACCGTTGGAAGGTCTAGCAGAACGCGTTTAACGAGCGTGAGAAGCGTTCGCAATGAATCAGGAAACCCAAAGCCTCAGCCAATTTAAGTGCCATAAGCCTATGTTGCTGCATTATTTAAAGCATAGATACATAAGGGCCTAAAACAAGTTACCGTACATGATAACGATAAAAAAAGGCCGTCAATTGATATACCATACCGGGGTGATCTGATTATTGGTAGAAATGTATGCGTCTTTTAACTCTATAAATTTATATTAGGCCTGTATTGCAAACTATGCTATGCCTATTCGACCATATTCCGTTTTAAAATATCATAAAGATTGTATGTTTTTATCAGAAATACCTTGACATACCATATAAGTTTATTAGTTATATTTTACTACTCATGTATTAATTTTCCATAATATATAAGCTCTGTTTTCACTGTTAAGTTTTATCACCAAACGAAACTTTACGGAAACGATAAGTGTTCAGCCAATTTATTCATACTATCTTATGTTGAACCTAGTGGCGCATGATTACCGTGGCAACATGTTTTCATCGTTTCTGTAAAGGTTGCGAGTTTGCCATTGCAAAAGATGCCTTCAACAAGTAGGCCTACTGGATTTTAAAAAATGGAAACATTTTTATGAATCTGTGTTTAGAAAATGTATATTATCGTCAACCTTTAAAGCCAGCTAATAACGCGATTCCAGGAAGAACGAAAAGCGAGAGAGAGGCACGGTGGAACAAGGCATTTCGTGAAAACTAAAAGAAAAAAAAACTGTAAACTGTAGAGAAATTCCCGAATTCTTCCGGCATGAAATGAGGTGGCCTATTACGGTACTGCTGAAACATTGATATAGGCCTACTAACCTACCGTACATAGCAGAGTCATCATGGCCACCATTCACGGCACTCTGGTAAAGGTAAAGGCTTCGAACCTTTTTATTAAATTGCTAAGTTCACTTTTTTAATGCCACTCATCTTCTCGGTTCCATGATTTCCAAGTAGGTTTATAGCCATGTACTGTCACTCTAAATGAAAAATAGAATCACTATCCAACATAAAGGTACGTGGCGTAGCAAGAGGGTTTGCGCAAGACACATTTTCTAGGAATTACCGGTAATTGATTCTCACCATGCCATAGGTATGGGTACCTTGTAAAATAATGAATTTATCGGTGAGCAAATTTCTGCAATGGGACTAGAATATGGAATGTATATGGAATGGTTTGTACATACATTTCTATGATGAATCAAATGGATAGTGACCTTTTATGTGTAGACGTGGTTATATTATGTATATTTTATATATTCTATTAAATCCTTGTGTAGTTTCGCTGCTAAGAAATAATAATTCTAAGAAAAAAACAAAAACACTAAAACACAAAAAATTGTAAGCCTAAATTCCATCGACATCTGACGTCACAACATTCATCCATCATTCATTAGGACGTTGGCGTAGGATTGCTTTTTTTCACGGATATTGCCAGAATAGGAAATAAACAAAACCGCTTGTTTCTGGGTTTTCCTGATTTTCCTATCAATCGTTCAATCAATTAATCATTTAACAAATGAATATATGATCATCTTTTATTTCAGAATTAATATTAATATCATAAATAAGCAAGCTTAACTTAAACATATAATTATACATACGCCTTTTAATGATCATACAAGACTTTTATAAGATAATATATAGGCGTAGCTATATGATGCATTAGACGGGGCTCGCAATGCCTGGTTACGAAATGTTCGCAGCAAGTTTTGAGAAGTCCAGTCACGAAATGTCTGCCGCTCTCATTGTACGGATGATGAACGGGAATCTAATCGTCACTCGGTAATCACATAATGCCAATGATAGATGATGTGTCAGAACCTCATGTGACGGACCTTGGAAAAAGTTGACATTAAAAAAGTTGATGGACGGCTGACCAGTAAGAATTATATTAGACGGAGTAGGTGGTTTTCGCCGCACGACGTTAACCTTAACTTTAACGTTAGTACCCAACATGCAACGCGATAACTCCGCCCCTTTTGTAAACAAATCGAAATACGCATGCGCAAACCCGTACTGTAACTAACGTCCGTCGAGCAACGCAAGATGAATATATTATGACGTCATCCATTAAGGTTAAGGTTAACGTCGTGCAGCGAAAACTCCCTATTAACACCCGACATTACGTAAACATTAATCGACAGACAGTTCGCCTAAAGATATCTTGCCGTTCGAATGAACTCTTGAGATCGACAATACAGTACAGATAAAAAATACGCGACAATGCTTGTCTGACACGACAGAGAAAAAGATGAACGATTGACGATTAGGGCAGGAACACACTGACAACGAAGTAACGTACCTAAAGCCTATCGTGTTTTCAGTGCAATCGTTCTACCGCGTAGCATCACCGAAGCTGTTGGTGAAGCGTGTAGTGTAGCGACTGTATGGAAAACATGAGTTTATCTTACAGTACGTGGTCACAACTACATAGATGGACAAAGCGTCTCTCGGAAATCTGACGGCCTTCAACACTCCAACAAGCAAGCAAGAACCTCCCGGAAAATAATTCCCATCTCCCGCAAATTCATTACACAGGACAGGATAATAACGGACTGTATGTGTATGAATTTTTACAACTTCATTATCAATTGTCTCGGTGTTTGGGGCCGATGGGTATCTCATGCGCAGCAAAAAATAAAATTCATATGTGTTAAGAAAGCTCCTTTAATCAGATATACTTGAAGGGATGTCTCCCAACATGAGACCATTGAATAAAACATTAATGGACTAAATTCAAAATATTGACGGACACTTCACTACATCAGAATCAGATTAAGGCATCATGACTTGGTTAAAATGTTGGCATGCCAATGTTATAGGATGACTTTAGTCTGGACTTGATAAAAATATACTGACGTCACAGAATGATGTAGAATGGAACATGCGGTGGGCGAGGACTTGATTGTTTAAACCCCAGAGTATTGGATGCGGACTGAAGTCACAGATACATTACGAATGACGGTCATAAACATCCCCACTTGAAAAAATAGTCCTACCGACGTTACACTCTTGAATAGACAATATATAGACAGATGTCCAGGGACATAGATAGACAGAAGACAAATGAGAATTAGATTAAGTCACATTGCGATATAAGTTGTCATTCCTGATATGCAGAATCGCAAATGAACTGTCATCACAAATAGAACAGATATGCTTAGATAGATGAGTGACGAGTAACTATCAGACTAAATCATTCCGATGCAAAATTATGACGTGTGGCAATCGGATTACGTCTCTAGACAATAAACCTTACTGACCCATAAGTTAGACCGATAGAACATGGGCAGTTAGTCTGACCATGGAGAAAATAATTATATTAATATATTTTCTCCATGGCATAAGATGTAAAAATGATTGCGCCCTCAATGAAACCAGCGTACAACCATCCAGGCAAAAATAATAAATTTATTTATTTATTATTAAAATTGAAGGGCATTTTGGTGACCTATATCGATTGTTTTTTTAAATATAAGTTATCTGCATCGACAATTATGTTTTTCATAGCATTGAAATACAGTAATTAATAATTCACACCAGTATTGAGATGCGTGTGTAGGTTGGGAGACTAGGGGAGGGTGACAAAATGGAAATGCAACTGTATATAGGTTACGGTACATGATATTAATTTAATCCTGTGCCTTGATTATTTTTATGCGGCTACAAAATTGCTTTGATTGTAAGTAGGTCATGTTGAATGTGTTCATGTTAAAGTTGATATTGTAGTATGAAACCGCACATTTATACTCAACGGACGCAACTCCGTAATTGAAGTACATATCGGTAGTTGAATGCAATTTTCATTACAATCTATTCATAGACTATTGAATGCTCGTAGTGTTGTATCACCTTGTTTATTACCGATTATATCGCTGAACAGTGCCAGGTCAAACAACAGTAAAGCTTCATGCTTTTTAAGCATGGATTGCATTATTATTCTTATAATATTATTACTATATTACCGCGTTTATTAGCACTGATCTTTTTGTAAATTTAAAAGGATTTTCCAAAGGCCATTTTCTTAAACAGTTAATCGTTCATACGATACGATAAAATATACATTTTATTTTTTTTTATTATCAAAATAAGCTTTTGCTATTTGAGATGTGTTTAGTATTGTTCGTGATATAATGGAAAATATTATATAAGAACAATACAAAATTATTCACGGGATATTAACAAATGTATGTATTATTATCATATTGTTAATTAACCTATAGTTGTGATTGAGTTGTGTATGTTACAAATCAAAAAGAGTGTTTTGACCATTGTAATTTTTAATTAAAAGCTAATGATTTATTGAAACAATTCAATACAATTTAAAAATTTAAATAATGAATAATATTTGTTGTAAGATTTTTATTTCATCACAGATGGTATATAGTTACATATTAAATATAACGTCATCTGGGCCTACCCTAGAACACCAAAATCATTATTATGCCTAGGCCTATAGTTCACGTTTTATATATGAATTTCGTTTTTTTGGGGTTTTTTACATTGAGTCCATTTGAAGTTGACGGTTTATCTGGCTCATCTCAATCTTATTTTTTTTAATATCCGCCCTTTCATAATCTTTATTAATTTTGCCACGACGATCATCCAACCCTGCAACCTATTTGTTTTAATTTTAGTTCAATAACTAAATCTTGAGTTCAAACGGTCGTATATTTTACCTGTATAAAATTAATACGTCAACCACCTTTGAACTACACTGTACAGTCGTTTATACACAAAAACGCTGAAATACGGTATTATTTTTAATATCATTATTATTATTATTATTATTATTAGACCTATTATATTTTATTTCTATATTATTATTATCAGGTCAGTTATTTATATTGTAGGACTATTGTAGCATGATAATTATCATTTAATTTGACCTATAATAATTATTATTGTATAGGCCTATTTTTATTAATTCTCTCCTTTTTTTTTAAATAAATGACATATACTGATATTGTACTTTAAAACTTGTATATTTGCGATGTTAAATGTTTTCTCAATTGCACAGTGATAATAGAATGATTCCTCAGAATAAAAGATCGTATGCGTGGCGGCTGTGTAAGCTTTTGTAAAACACAGAACATGTGTTTTTATTTTTTGTATGAAAATCGATATATTTCCACAAAATACATATCATCAGTCATAACATAGTAGAATGTATGATTACATCATGGAGGTATAATTTTATACCTCAATACACTGAGATTTTTTTTACATTATCGGATCCAAGGGTTGTGAAAAGGCGCTCACTACCGCCCCCTCTCTACAGCAGCTAAAATATTTAATTTATAACATCATTTTAGGTATGATATATAATATCTAAATTTCTGGGCCACCTCAATAAATTAAGGAATACATTCACCCGGCCTCTCTCAAACCATTGTTCACGCCTCGCCCCCCTCGTACCATAGGTCCTCAATTGCCACACCCACACCTTTACATGGCTATTCTATAGGCCTACTCTCATCCCAAAACATCATGACTATCAGATCAACCCGTTGGGAAGGAAAGCTCCACTGTCAAATTTGAGTTCTTGTTTGACGTTACTAAACCGCATGGTATTCAACATCACATACTCACGGCATATGTACAGGATATTTTCGTATCATTAAGTATAAAATAAAATAATGTGTACATTTAATGCTCAGTAATCCTACATTAATCGATACTCACGAAATCCGTATATTTAACCTACGTTTACGCCAATAAATCAAAGCCTTCGTGATATGTATACGTTTACACCTGCGATTTGTTCGCGTTTATCATGATTGATTCATACTATTTCCAGCAATGCAGGTATTAGGCCCAGCTAATATTATATCATGGTTAAAAGCAAAGCTGATTCCAACTTCTTCTCAATATTACGTGTAATGTATTATTAAGTAATGTATTATAAAGTGAAAGTAGGCTTAGTGCGATTTTCACCATAATCCGAGGTGCTCGTAAAGTGAAGGGTTCAACTTGATAGACTCTTAGACTAATGTTGGCGATTTTTGGATTTTGTCAAATCAGTCTGTGTCGGTAACGAAGAGGGAAACTGTGTCGCCGTATATTTTGCCCGAGAACGTGTATACATTTTTCATGAACGTCTAACAGGACCGATGGAATTCCTACATAAGCCGTCATAAGCAACGGGGCTTTGAAGTTGAATGTGATGGATGGTGACAAAACATATACATATCCTACGTAATTCAAATACAAAACATGGTGTCGATTCTCGTGGCACAAGTATCTTGCTTTATTACGGAAATGCAAAGGTAAAGTATCAATATCAATAAAATTGATAATGGTGAAATTTATTTTATTAGAAATCAACTCTTATTGTTGAACATCTATAAAAAATAAAAAACAGATATAATTTCTTTTCTTTATTTGTGTATGTTTCTCAAATTCAATAAACTAAATGATTTCCGAAGACCGACTGTCTCAGTGCCGAATTTAACTGTCCGACTGATATTATCAGTAAATTCCTAGACAATTTTCTTCAATCGTCCAGAACTTTCGTTTACTTAGAATTTTTTTAATACAATGGGACGGTTATTTAACTTTATTCTTTATTCTTGGTTAAATTTGACTCAACAGAAATTAAAAAGTTGCTTTTCAGCAAGGCCGTGTCCTTAAACTAATGAAAACTTAGATCTCGTACTAAAGATACAATGCAAGTAAAACTATAATAAACACACATTAAAACTTAACTTATGTTTTCTCTATATAACAAGGTGAATCACCACAAACAATGTTTATAGAAATTTACCCACCGTGTGCTCTGCAGAAATCTGTCGTTCGGCTTTCAAAACTAGTGCTAATCTACAGCATTTACTTCAATGAAAACATTATTGTCGAAAAGTGTATGCATGATAGTAAAATGTCTGTCATCGTGTGCTTGAATTTTCATCTTAAACATCAAATTTTCTAATTTTACATGATTTTATGAAAGCCAACAGCGATAGCATTGAATACGTACATTATGCTATACTTCAACCTTTTAACACCTGTTTCAATCAGATTGATAATATATGTTTATGGGCCTATCAATTCTTATAAAACACAAACATTTTGAAATGAACATACACAAAAATACAATCTACCCTAAAGTTTTAGCACAAAACTTGAACTGGAAGATATGTAAGGCAACAAGAGTTTGAAAGAAACTGCATTCCTGGTTATTCTGAAACATAGAAGCACGTAGGCTTATCAAAACTTGAGGACAGAAGTGTAAGCTGAGTGCAAGACCTTGTCAATGGCGGGAGTGGCTACTACTGACCTGCCAAAATGCAGATCACTATTCGTGATTACCTGAACTGATGTGTATCAGACACAATATTGAGGCAATCACATTGATCGTAATTTTGCTTATGTTAGCGATTGAGAGTGCATGTGCATACTATCTGTGATGAATGTAAATCAATTTGTCGATCTGCAATCTAATATGACATGAAGGATTAATGGCAGATTGTTTAATAGTAATTATATCAAAACAATATTGACAAGGTAGTCGAAAGATGAGCTGAGCCTAATTGATACTCGCAACATGGTTTGACTACACAACATTAGTTGAAAGATGATCACAGTCTAACTAATGCCCGCAGATATTCATTATCATCATTGATTACATATTATCATCATCATTTTAAAACACTAAAAATGGTAATATTGTTAGGTGAAATATGAGCACTGACGTTTCATGCAGTACATTATTTGATTACATCTAAACTTAAGTACAGTAGTGCTGTGTCTGGTGATGCTTTAACACCAGGTTCTGTAACCGGGTGTATTAAGGTCAGTTATGAGATCAGATGGAATGTTTGGTCTGGTTTGATGTTTTCATCCAGAAGGGTGATTTCAAGATGTAATTTAACGTTGGTGACATTGTCTATGGACGTTTGACTGCAGAGGCAAGTTAGGGTATCATTTCCTACTTGAGCGGTGTGACATTGTATCAATAGCCCGAGTTCAAACTTATTGATCTTCTCATGTAGTTAGTAACCTAGGAGTGGACCTACATGCACATAAGCATGTAATGCTTGTCCCCGAGTACAACCGTATGTGACAACATCTCCACGGTCAAATGTGTTAAAACCCTAAGAAACGAAATGTTGTTTAGCGTCAATTAATTACAGGGCTTCAAGATGGCACCAAGAAAATGAAGCCCTCTCCCGATCCCTCTTGGTTTCTCAACGATTGTAAAATTTAGTGTCACTGAATCAATGGCATTTTCTATAATTGCATAATTCTATTCAAGGCATTTATGGTATGTGTAAAAAAGTATACCTCAACTGCTGTTAAAGCCAATATTTTAGTTGGTTGTGGTATACCATAAAAATTCATTGCAAAATATTGAGCTTATAAAAGCATGGCTTACATAGAACAACTCGTCTCCTACATAGCGTAGAAATCTCTAAAATTCGCAATATAGTCCTCAAATTTTCCATTCTAAATCTTAAATATTGTTTGCTCATTTCTTAATTTTGAGACAAATATTAACACTGCTTTTCGAAACACAGTCGATCATGTTTCTAAACTATAATGATTTTTCACTATATTTTAATGTGATGTACCGTCGTTAATTAAATAATAATAATAATAATAATAATAATAATAATAATAATAATGTATTTTATTTATATTGCGCCTCTTCCAATAAACATTGTTCAGAAGCGCATTGCAAAGGAATAATTAAAATATGCCAAAACTACAATCAATACACCTTTTAAAATTAAAGTAGTTAAAATTCATAGAAAAAGCACATTTAAAATTTTCCAATAAAATTTGTCAATATATGGAATACATCAGAACCCATACAAACATTTCAAGCAAGCTTTAATTCAAACATCGACTAAAATTGAATGATAGTCATGGTTTAGATTGGATAGGATTTATTCGGTGTAAACACCAAGGACAGCCCACGAAAGTCTAGATGAAGACTTATTTCCAGTGGGATCCTTCTAGTGGTGATTGGGCAGTACACAGGAGACATCCCTACTCTTTTCCGATTAGTGTACTGCGTTATTTAAAGTGCACATGGGCCAGTAATGCAGGCGGGACCAACGGCTTACACGTCTCATCTGAAAGACGGTGCACTATTGTAACTTGTCCCTCCAACTGAAACACAAGGAGAGGCAGCGAAGGGAATTGAACTGTTGAACTGGGTACCTAGAGATCTCCACGGTTCTGAGCACTCACAATGGCTACCTGGCTGATTGAGCTAAGCTGCTCATCACCACGAAATTTGTGATAGTATTAAATATGTAAGATAGTGATGTGTTCATTAACAAATTATAATTGTATAAATTTACAGCTAAAGAGTGTTTGATTATAATATGAATTAATTCCTACCTCTCACTGACAAATTTAGTTGATCATATTACATTTTGATGTCCATTTTATTGAATGTTTACCGTTTATTTTTTTTTTCTATTCCACTTTAGTGTATTTTGAATTTTATATGTTCTTCTATTTGGAGGGTTATTGAGTAAATTTGGATTTTTAATAATTTCCAAACATACCGAAAGGTTTGAAACATACATTGACAACATATTCTTATCCGTTGTTTAAATTTATAATGTAACAAACCACCTGTCAGTCTATACTTATCATACCTTTAAATCATATAAGTCTGATCAAATGGTAATTCAATCTCTTATATTATGTATACATATAGGTGTCGTTTAATAGCGAAACTAGGCTAAGTGAAGACATGCTGGCGGCTGATTAGACAAATCTATGAAAGTATCTATCTGTGAAAGTATGGGTTTTTATAAAGTTGTTTTTTTTTCAAATTCTTGCATGACAGATTGGAAATTATTAAAGCAAAAATACTTTAAAATTATAGACAAATTTTATTAAGCAAAATAACTTCGAAAATAAAGTAATATTTTTGAAAAGCTTTGAAAACAACAAGTATGGTTACTTTTATGGAAGTAAACCTTAAGCAAATTCTTTGATCTAATTTATCGCAGCATATTGTTTAACAAGCTTAACTATTATGGCGTACGCGGTATCGCTCTCAACTGATTAAATAGGTCTCAATTCTTGCCAACCGTGATATGCCTTAAACGTAAC